AATAATGAAGATCATTTTTTACATGTAGAATAACATGCACTGATGAATTATGCACAAAATGTGCATTAGCAAAGAAAACATCTGATTCCATGTCAACAGAAAGAAGCAATAAGTAAGCTATCCATGTTTAATGTTTGTAATTCTTGTATTCTTAAAGGGATAGTTCATGAAATTTAAATAATTTACTCTCCCTCAAGTCATCCCAAACCTGTATGAGTTTTTTTTTTCTGCTGTGGACATAAAAGAAGATATTTTGCAAAATGTTTCAGTGATTTTTATGTTTTGAAGATTAATTGAATGCACAAAATAATTGAAACATTTATCAAAATGTGTCCTGAACACCATATAGGTTAGGAACAACATGAGGGTGAGTAAATGATGACAGAACTTTCTTTTTGAACTTTGAGGTGAATGTTAGCTGTATGATTAGCTGTGGCTAGTCTCAGCCAGCTGTGGCACCACTTGCTCACCTGCCCCTGTCACAGCGATTTGGCTGGCTCAGCTGAGCGTTCAGACCCGGTCTGCTCAGAGCATTAAGAGACTGTCACTACCGCTGCTCCATCATGCTTCTCATAGATGTGCTTTTTTAAAAACAGAATAACCCTTGTATGTACACAGCACCGGGCTGCATGTTGCTTTTGAACATCGCACTGCATAACAATGGACAGCAGCAGATGTGTTTGGTGAAAAAAAGATTAGAGGCTCGGAAAAAAAAAAATCTGTATGACTTTACCCCAGAAAGCCCAGGGCTGGTGACGCCCCTGTGTGACTCCACCACCTCACCTCTCCGTCATCCCTCTGCTTTTTAATCTGGGATAGAGAGTTATGAGCAGTGATGGTATAAGCCTCTCTTCAGGACATGGACACTTCAGGTCACGTATCGCTGTCACATAGCTCAGTGATACCGCTGCACATTCATCCACTGGCTCCTCCAAAGACAGCAGCAGCATCCCGGATTACTGCATCTGAGATTATCATCCTCCTTTATCTCATTTGCTTGTGTCGTAGGATAGAAACATAGAGATTATTGCCTATATCCCCTAGACCATGACGATGGCTTTTTTCTGATGGGTTTAAGGGGCCGATAGCGTAGGAGGTCTGTTGTGTTATTATCGCAACACATTTCATGCTTAATTAGCATCTGGAGAGTTAATGGTACTGAATGGCAGGCTGTATATTCACCTGTTTCCTTGCATCGCTTTCTCTGTGCTGGAATATCTCCATGGATGAGAGAAGAGGAAGGCACTGATTTTAAAACGGTTCGGCCTTGTCTGTGGAGCCTCTGTGCTCAAACATGCCAATTTGCGGCGGCGTATAAGTATAATTTATTGTCCAAGATGTTCTTACATGGTGTACAGAGCACTGTGCAGACATTTTGCACTTATGCTTTGCTCTTTTGCAACTATACAAGGGGGCGTATACAATTCACTTGTCACAGAGGCCTATTCACAAACATATCAAAATGATGTTTGACTGAAAACGCAGTGCTGAAGATAAAGTTAGTTCCTTTTATTATTGTCATTTTGCTCCCAGTTTATGCTTACGATTACGATTTGCACCTAGGCTGATGCACTCAGGTGTTAGTGCACTGTTTTTCACAGTTGTGTCTATTTTTGTCAAAGGGTTCTCATGTCTGTTTTTGAAACTGTTGAGCCAATTAGCAATAGCAAATAGTGAGAAACCTGGACTTATATACGGTGTAGTGTGAGGCAGACTTTAAGTGAGTTGATGATGATAGGAAATATGTTTATAGTGTGAACTTGCTGTTTTATTTGCCCACATACCTTCATCTGAGATTTTAAGAATGGACAACTACTAACACCACTCTAATATTTAGCTCTCTGATCACAGTGTACAGTTCCGTTGAAAATTTTGGGTCTGGTTTTTTTTTTTTTGGATTAAAATTGATGGAAGGTGACAGCAAAGATTTATAATGTTTATCATGTTGTTTTTTAATTTTCTGTTGGTCAGAGAATACTGAAATGAAATGTATGACAATTTCCATAAAAATATTTAGCAGCGCAGCTGTTTTCAACATTGGTAATAATAAGAAGTGTTTATTGAGCATCAAATTATCATATTAGAATGATTTCTGAAGAATCATGTGAGACTGAAGAATGGAGTAATCATGCTAAAAATTCAGCTTTGACTTCATAGGAATTTTATAAATGTATTAAAAATATGTTTTTAAATTGTATCATATAACGTTTTATTACTGTTTTTACTGTATTTTTGATCATATACATGTTTTATTACTGTTTTTACTGTATTTTTGATCATATAAATGCAGTCTTGGTGAGCATTAGAGACCTTTTTCAAAAACATAAATCTTACCAACCCAAAACTTTTGAACGGTAATCTGTGTTATCTCATATAAGATTGAATCGATTGGTTGACTTTCTGTCTTCTGTGGAATACAAAACCAGATATTTTGAAGAATTTTTCAGTATTTTTTCCCCCATGCTAAACTGGAAAAAAGCAACTAGTCATTGTATCTGAAATGTCATTTCCTTCAAATGAAAAAACAAAAAAACATTTCATATAAATTGACACTACTCTTATAAAAATCATACACTCTGGCAGAGTACGTAGTGTTTTGTGTACAGTAAGTACAAAGTATATAGTACACCATTAGGGACGCAACTAGAATTAGTCAGCACTCAATATGTAAATCATATTGAATTGATATGTGCTTGTGCACATAAATAAGTGATACAAAAGCAGAAGTCTTATAATATTCTTCTAGACTTTAAGAGCAGCTCTTTACCCAGTGTTCAGAGGTCTGGATGAAGCTGCCGCTGCACTAACCTCTCACGCTAGAGAGCTAGCTGTACCTGAGTGCTGTCTGCACCTGTGAAAACCTGTCACGAGGAAGGAAGTGTCAGGTGAAAATAAAGGTGGTGACGTAGGAAACGCTTTTAGAATATGTTCTTGTAACTCAAATGGTCTTTTCGGGTCTTTACTGGCTTAGAGAGGTGCAGAAATTATTCAGGGTCTGCAAACGAATCGCAATCAGCCGCAGCTGCTGTGACAACCACAGGGAAAGTGAGGGGGGTAAATATCTGTGCACTATAGCTGAACGTTATATAAAGCTGTCTGCAGTAGTTCTACCCATTTACATGTTCAGAATTCTGACTCTTTAAAGCATCTGTGCGCGCAATGTACATTTAGCAGTCAAAAGTGATCTTAGAAATGTGTGTTATTTCACGTTATGTGTATGTGGATTATGGCAAGGCTACTAAGAAAGGTAAATTACAAGAGTATGTTCTACAATCAGTGTTTATATTAATAACAGCACTGAAAAGAATATATCTCAAATTAAGCTTATTTATGATTGAACCAAGCAAGAAAATGATTTGCCAATTTGGTAAAAAAGAAAAACTTACTTCAAGATATATTCTCTAATCTTACAATATTTAGTTTCTTGAGTGAATTTATTTTATTTAAAAGATATTGAAATATTTTTTACTTGAAAACAATGTGTGTGGCTTGATTACAAGAGGTCTATGGGATTTAGTATGAATTGGATTGATAATCTAGTGCTTCACTCCTTAAGTACTAAAGGGGGTGGAGAGGTAGTGACCATCTCCTCTCTACTAGTCACCCGGCGGCCCTGTCAGCATCACCTCACCACAGATCAATCAGATCAATACTCACAAACACAACAAAGTTTGCATGTAAAAGGCCATGAATGTCAGTTGGTCCACTGCCTCAGTTCATCCATATGGTTTGTTAAGAACATGGACTATTCTAATTTAATTTATAATTAATTAATTATTCTATGGACAATACCTAAAATGAGGACATGAATTTGTACATTCCCACTTATATATAAAGGTTATATTAAAGGAATAATTTACCAAAAAGTCTGACATTTTCTTATGTCGTCCCTATTTTCTTTCTTTTGTGTAACACAAAATAAGATTATTCTGCAGAATGTTGAAGATGCTCTTGCGTATATAAATGTAGATTGTGACTGTCAAACTCCCAAAAGTTCTTATGTTTTTGTCTTTTTCCTCAAACAAAGCTATTGTATGACTTGAAATATAGCACATGAGTCAAATGGACTACACTGATGGTGCTTTTTATGGCAATTTAAACCTTTTTAGAGCTTGACAGCCCCTTCTGAATGTCTTTCATTGCTTTGTGGAAAAAAAAGATTCAGAATTTCTCCTTTTGTGCTACACTGAAAAAAAAAATGTTTGGGTTTATGAACCCACTCTGGAGATATTTTCATTACAAGACCGAAAAATAAACAAAATAATTCCATCTATTGTGTCTAAAATGCAAGACTAAAATGTTACTAAATGTAAACTAAATGTACTAAAGTCACTTATGCTGCGTTTATTTGATTAAAAAACAGTAATACTATGAAATATTATTACAATTTTAAACTTTTTTTCTGTTTTACTTCAATTTGGAACTCAAGAAATATTATTATCATCAGTACTGAAACCAGTTAATATTTTAATATTTATAATTATATTATAATTATAATACTTAATATTTTGTGGAAACAGTAATATTTTTTTAGGATTCTTTAATAAACAGAAAGTTCTAAAGAATAGCATTTATATGAAGTAGAAATCTCTTGTAACATTATAAATGCTTTTACTGTCACTTTCAATCAATTTAATGCATCCTTTCTTAATAATAAAAAAAAAAAGTGTAATCATAGCCATGCTGATATTTATTGCTTAAACAATGAAAAATGTAACTAGCCGGAGGGCAATAACACACATAGTATTGTCTCTCCTCGGCTCAACTGCAGTTCTCTTTCAACGGCAGACCACAGGCCGTCTGTAATCTTCACACCTCCAGTCCTGTCCTCACTCGTCCCCCTGAAGCGTCACATCATGGTGATGATGTACCATGCTCTGTTGAGACCCACTGTTCCCATGGCATGCATTTACTGTCTCCTCATGACAGCGTGTGTGTGTGCATACGTGTGAGCCACCAGCCTCACACACTGAGGTAATGTGCATCTCTTCATCTCACAGGCAAACCCTCCCCCCATCATTGTGAACGCAGACGATGCAGGCCCTTATGTAAGTATCTGCTTCATGCTCTCAGCACCTCCAGTAGCGCCTGCCTGCCTGACTGCCTGCCACGTGGAATTATCACCCTCAACCCAGCCAAACCTTTCCCAATGTACATGAGATAATAACAATAAAAATATGCACAGATTAAATGACAGCAGATGTGGACTGTAGCTTTAATGCCGAGTGCAATTATTATTTAACCATTATAATGAGTTGTCTTTGACGGTTTATCAGCCCTATGCCTTGTACGTGATTCATACCACTTCATTTTTCGAGTTTATAGCGTTTCTGCTTTTACATAATTAATTATAGATGTGACCTTCTTGTGTATAATTTGTTGGCATTACATCATGTTTAATGACTGTTTATGAGTCTGTTATTTTTCTTTTGTCTATTGCAGGTGAATGGGAGTGATGGCATGTATAAATATGAAGAAATCATTTTGGAAAGGGTAAATATCATTTAGCTATTTTAGGGTCTTGTCAAATTTGCCAATATTCTCCTCCAAACATTGATACCTATGGGGACCTGGACACTAGATGGCAGTAAATGTTGAGCTAATGCCTGAAATCGAACTTTAAGCAATGTAATTTTGTACATTTTCAAAACACTAGTCTCCTCACAAAGCATTAGGGTTGGAAATTATATTAAAAATAATTTGGTTTAATCTCCAAAATCATCTTTCAGTATTGTTAATCTAAACATCAGTTAAATTAGTATTAAAGATTAGTGCTGCTGAATGAAAAATTGTAAAGTATTGTAATGATCACTCATCACAAATAAACTGACATAAAATCCATAGATAATACCTAATGAAAATATATAGATATACCTAATTCTTTGTAGATTAACTATTAAAATCAGTATGATTAAGTAATAGTTGGATTAAATGATAGTCAAATGTATTGAAATGAATGAAAACATATGCAAATGAAACGAAAGACATTTAGACGTGTCGTGATTAAGTTACTTTGTGACTTTGTGATTTTGTTTCTTGTATTAAGTCAGTTAAGGATAATAATTAAAAAACTGCATTTTGACAATATATTTGGACTACTAAAGAGTAGGCTACTGAAAATGCACCACTTGTCAGATACCAGATACTTGTACCATGCAGTTCATCGTGTACAGGTGCTGTTCTTATCGAAATGTTCTTAAGAAGAATTATCATATGAATTAGCATGGTTTTAACATTGCAAGGTCTATTCATACTTGAAGTTTGTTCAATGCAAATTAATCTAAATCCGTCTGCATAGGCCATTCATTAAACAGCAGTGGATGTTGGATTTGGGTGCATCTCTGAGCTTTCAGCATAATTGCAGGGCTGTTCTCTAAGTGCCATTTCTGCACGCTGAGGCCTAAATAAACTATGTTAAGATCTCACATGTTAAAAGGTCCGTGGGTGTGTTCGCTTCTTTAGTGGGAGCTCTCGCAGTGGCTCTGGAGCAGGAAAGGCACACTGGGATGTCTTAGCTCCACTCTGTACTAATTTGCTGTGACCGTTGCTCATTAATTATAGAAAATAATAAAGTGAAGTCTTTTCTCAGCTGTCTGCTTTAGGGCCTGTCTTTTGAGATGTGACTGTCAGACAGACCAGCCTGTCTCAGCTTTTTGGCACTGGAATAAAAACAGCAGTGTAAGAAGTGGTGAAGTACGGAGGGAGGAAATAGGCGGAAACGGATATGATTTTTGGATTCTTGAAATGTGCACCACAAATTCCTATATTTAGCAGCAGAAAACTGTCCATGCCTAGAAAGTGTTTACAAAGTAATGAGAGCCAGGTGCCTTCCGAAAAGCAGATGCAAACTTTTTCCAAGATCTTTATGAAAACTCTGCATTTCCTCATCTATAATAATCTACTCATGTATGTCGTCAATAGGGCAACTCTGGCCTCGGGTTCAGTATTGCTGGAGGTGTGGATAATCCACACATTCCTGACGATCCAGGAATCTTCATCACCAAGATTATCCCAGGTGGTGCTGCCGCCATGGATGGGAGACTAGGGTGAGTGATACTTTTCTCAGGATCTAATATTTCTTTGTGCAACTCTAGCTTTTTTTCCAAAACCTACTGAGCAGTATTTTAAAGCATCATAGGCGGACTCCCCACTTAATGGCTGTTTCAAAAGTTAGACATCTTAATTATCCTGCCTAGTTTGACCAAATTCTAAGGCTGCATCGCATGTAATCTTTGGTGGCAGAGGCAATGATGGCAGACATGGCAAGAGAAAACTCAATAGTGAAATATCTATAAAAAGTTATTTGTAATTAAAAATGTACTATTTTCCTAACCATTTTTATCCTATTAGAGTATCAGCTTAGCAGCTAACTAACAATGTCAGCTTGACAACATGCTAACGCCAAACTATTGAAATTGAAGTTGAGTTCCCAGCTCTATTTGTTGCATATGAAGTTGCTGTCAATTTTACAGTTGCTTGGAGAAGTTTTAAAGTGCCACTATTATGCCAATTTAAGGTTCCTAATATTGTTTTGGGAGTCTCCTAGATAGATATACATGCATGCAAGGTCAACAAAACATTTTGGTTTTCTCAAAATATCACCTCATTTTCCAATGATTCTCAAACGATTCTTTCAAAGCAGTTCTAAGATTCAGTCTCTCTAAACCCCTCCTTTCTGTAAGCCTACTCAGCTCTGATTATTATGCGTGGGGAAATTTACCATGACATAAAATTTTGCCAATGTGACTGCAACTTATGTTGAGCGATCCATATTGATCACTTATGAGGTTCAAAGACAGTTGGCAGTTAGGATGCTGTCGTAGAAGGAAGCTGGAAGGCAGCTCACTAGGTTTTTGTGTATGTATCCATTACATTGATTTATTATATTGCTTTATCCTTGTGTCTCAGGGTAAATGACTGTGTTCTGCGGGTGAATGATGTGGACGTGTCAGAGGTTGTGCACAGCAACGCAGTAGAGGCTTTGAAAGAGGCCGGCCCAGTGGTCAGGTTGCTGGTACGCAGAAGACAGGCTCCTCCTGAGACCATTTTGGAGGTCAACCTACTCAAAGGGCCTAAAGGTAAGAAGAGCTAAATGTGTATACCAGCACATTTGAGACAGATGCTATTATGTGCGGTATCCCTATTAAAGCAGTTCTGAATTACGAATGGACCCCTTTTACTTCTTAATGTGCGCCATGCATCTGAGCACATTTTTCATAATATTGATGTAGTCATATTACATATGAAATATGCAATATTAAAAAAATTATTTGGGTTATGAGTGCCATTTCATGTTGACTTCAACCTTGTAAGATCTGATTTCCTGGTTAAAAATTTAACTCCATTCCGTTCACTCAAGGTCTCGGCTTCAGTATTGCTGGCGGTATAGGCAACCAGCACATCCCGGGCGACAATAGTATCTACATCACAAAGATCATCGAAGGTGGGGCGGCACAGAAAGATGGACGTCTGCAGACAGGCGATCGCCTTCTGGCTGTAAGATTTCACCTGCACACATGCATCTGTGTACTTCACTATATGTAGAGCCACACATTGCATATCTTTGCAAGAGTTTTTTTTTCAGTGAATTACTTTATGCTTCAATGAACGCAGACACTGTTGTAGGCTACTATGCCGTATTATAGACGATATATCTCATGTGTGAAGCTTTATGGGCCACAGTGTGATTGATGTGAAGCTGAGCGCAAACTGAAACAAGGACACAGCTGTGATAAAGAGAAACACTTGCATGGCACACAAGTGCCAGGGAATGAGCAGACTTTGACATGGTCATAAATGTCATAATTAAAAGGCTACGCATCAATCATGGCTGCTGTAACTGCAGACATGTAAAGTGTGCCATTACTTCCCTTTCTTTTCTTGGAAATTATGGTTTTAATTCAGTCGGGGACTTTGATTTTCTGAACAGAATGCCTAGAGTTGGTCAAATTTTAATTATGTCTCTGTGTAGTCCATCTACAAACTAGAACAGATGCTGCATCAGATAACACTATTTATCCATTGATTTTATTGGGGATGGTGCATTGCAAGAACGTAGGATCTGAAAGTGATGCTTTGTCATGTGCAGGGTTGGGCAAAATTCTAAATTTAAGTATTATCTTCCTATTACATTTACATTTACATTTAATCATTTAGCAGACACTTTTATCCAAAGCGACTTACAAATGAGGACAATGGAAGCAATCAAAATCTACAAAAGAGCAATGATATACAAGTGCTATAACAAGTCTCAGTTAGCTTAACGCAGTACACGTAGCAAGTTTTTTTTAAAATTATGTAATAAATAAAAAGAAAACAGATAGAATAGAAAAAGAATAGAGCAAGCTAGTGTTAGAGGCCTTTTTTGCTTTTGTTAATTGTATAATAAATAAAAAGAAAACAAATATATAGAATACAAAAAGAATAGAGAAGCTAGTGTTAGTTTTTTTTTTTAAGAAAAAAAGCAGTTAGTAAATGAATAGAGTGCAAGTCTAAAAGGGGCAAGTTTTTTTTAAAGAATAGAATTAGAATAGAGAGTGCTAGAGTTAGAGGGTCAAATAAAGATGGAAGAGATGTGTTTTTAGTCGATTTTTGAAGATGGCTAAGGACTCGGAGATGGCTAAGATGGCTAAGATGACTGCTCGGACTGAGTTGGGCAGGTCATTCCACCAGGAGGGAACATTTAATTTAAAAGTCTGTGAAAGTGATTTTGTGTGCCTCTTTGGGATGGCACAATAAAACTTGCAGAATGCAAGCTTCTATTAACTAATGAGTTGGAATTTGCGATGAATTGAGCTACTTTAGCAATAGCTTCTTAGATGTTCAGTTTGCATCATGTTGTTTTGTTTTAAAGACTTTTGGATAAATTAACTAGGGTAAAAAAAAAGTTTCTCCACTAAGCTAACTTGCTACTTTACTAAATAGAATAAATAAATATTTAAATATATATCAGTAAAATACTTTTAGCTGATGCTTTTAATACTAGATGTATAATACTAGATACTAATTTCTAGATGTGCAAATATTGATTATTATTATCTTAAATATTATAGCCAATTTTTTATTTAATTTAACTCAATTTTTTAAAATAAAGGAATACCTTATAACTCTCTAAAAATATAATGTTGTTATGTGCTTTTATGTATTTTGCTATTTATTTATTAATTTGTAATAATGATTTTATTGATATAATTTTTTATTTAATTTTAGAATTTAAATATGTATTTATTGTTGTCTCCTGCAGTGTTAGTTAATATGCCTGTTAGTTAATATATAATATAGAATTAATAATGATAATAGTTTTTATTAATAATAAATAGTTATATAAATATATATATATATATATATATATATACAACTCTTCTCTGGTCATACAACTAAAGGTCCTACAACCAATCTGTTTTCCTCTATTGACCTCCAATGAGAGTTTCAGAGAGGCAGGTTTGGTTGTGAGTCCAATTCAGACCTGTCACTTTCCACATCCTCAAAACAATTCAGACACATGTTTACCCATCAAACACTCAGCTTTTTGTAGTGTGTAGGTGCCCCTACAAAGGAAAAAGCACTACGCCTTTCCAGCTTCCTCTCCCTCTCGTCCTTCCTTTTGTGACCGGATGGCTGAGAGCTGGAGATTGGAGCGTCGTCGCCGAGTGTGGGGCCATCCGGCCTCCGCTCCAGTCGCTTCCTTCCCACAACTTCAAATGTACTGTCGTGAACATTCTGAGTCACGCTTCAGAGACCAGCCGATGTAACATGCGTGTGTGTGTCTGCCTTCGCAGGTGAATAACATTATACTTCAGGATGTGCGTCATGAGGAGGCTGTGGCCGCCCTGAAGAACACTTCAGACATGGTCTATCTGAAAGTGGCCAAGCCGGGACCAGTACATCTCAACGACATGTACGCCCCACCAGACTACTCTAGCAGTACGTACCTTCTTTTGCTGATCTCCATCCACCCTATGCCCTTACGAGCTTAAAATCTGTCCATTTTAAAGCTCTAGCACATGACTATTTGTACTGCATTGATAAACGTGAAAGGGACTTGGTGGTTGTGTCAATTTTTAAATAGAACCTGTGTCCCTATCTGCTTTTATCTTTAACCCTGTAATGAAAGCGAGTGGTGCATTGCCTGTGAGTGCTGTGGAGTTTTGTAACTGTACTGTGGTGTAGCAGTGGGCGCTGTTTTCAGACACCCACACACACTGCACTGCTGCTCCCATCACAGCACCAATCCCTCCCTCCCACTGAGAGACGATGCTTTCACACAATCCACCTGCACAAATGCACACAGCGGCCAAAATTAACTTTTTGCTACACCTGCCAATGGTGACTGAATATCTCTTATTGGCTATGAAACTGCATTTTAATTAAAATATTTTATATATTTTATTTATTTTGGTCAGTTGAAAAGATAAGATAAGCCAGTCTCTTAATGAAAGTCTCTGAATGAAAGTACACCTATGGTATTGTTCCTCATACAGTATTTTTGAAGGTTTAATCCAGGAATATTGTACATACAGTAAATTGCCCTCCAAAACGCAAAGTAGAATTATGGCCAATATCAGCATGAATCCTTTTCTGACATAAATGCATTAAAGTAAGCTGAAATTATAATTGAAAGCAAACAATAATGATTTTGTCTTTTGATTAGATAATAAAGGACATGCACTATCGTTCAAAAGGTTTTATTAATGAATACTTTTATTCAGCAAGGACACATTAAATTGATCAAAAGTGACAGTAAAAACATTTACTGTATACTGTTGCAAAATATTTCTATTTCAAAAAATGCTGCTATTTCTATCAAAGAATCCTGAAAAAATGGTTCACAGTTACCTCAAAAATATTAAGCAGTAATATTAAACTGTTTTCAACAATGATAATAAGAATTGTTTCTTGAGAATCAAATCAGCATATTAGAGTGATTTCTGAAGGATCATGTGACACTGAAGCCATTACAGGAATAAATTACATTTTAAATATAATTTGAAAACAGGAAACAGAAAAGTATAGAATTAAATAATATTTCACAGTATTGTGTTTTTTGATCAAATAAGGTTTCTATATTTTGTATTGGTTTTGTATAGGTTTCTGTATTAAAGGGGTCATATGATGTTGCTAAAAAGAACATTATTTTGTGTATTTGGTGTAATGAAATGTGTTAATGCGGTTTAAAGTTCAAAAAACAGATTACTTTCCACATACTGTCCATTATTGTTTCTCCTTACTGCCCCGCCTTACTGAAACGCATCGATTTTTACAAAGCTCATCGCTCTGAAAAGCGAAGTGTGCTCTGTTTGGCCAGCTATCCAGTGCGTTGTGATTGGCCGAATACCTCAAGCGTGTGACAGAAATGTTACGCCCCTTACCATACTGTAATGCCCTGTCCGGCCAGAGCAACGAGACAAAAACATTAAAACCCATTATAGACGAGGCATTTGTTGCATCCAGTGGGGACATAATTACGGATTATAATGACTTATACTGTCTTTTTACGCGTTGTGTTGCATCGCGCCGTGTAAACATAAAACCATGTCTGCATTTGTGATCGGAGAAATGACAAACAAGCGCTACTCTACACTGCTCAAAACTCGCGTTTGAATCATCAGTGGCAAATCCTTTAAATGAAAACTTACTTACAGTCTGTGAGCCTGTGAGTTTACAGTCCTCCATATAATGTGCTGCACACAAATGAATATTTGGGTTGAACTGTTCTGGAACAGTGTTGTAAATACAACCTAACCACTGATTTCTAGTCGTGTCTTCTTTTGGAAGACCAAACAAAGTAGTTTCGCTTTCACAACGAAACACACGGTGGGCTAGAGTGAGTGGAGGCCGGCTTGAGTGAGCGGAGGCGGGCGGTCTTTAGAACGGGGCGCGGCCGGCGGTTTCAACGAAGGAGTGACCGGCAGACTTGCGGCAACCACATGTGACGACCCCGGGCTGGACTC